GGCTTTTTGGCTATTTTCGGACCAAAAATGTACATTTTTGGCTCCTGTGCCCTAATATTAAATCTGAATGACCTGAAATTCGGTATAGGGATACCTTGGACACATGTCCAAAGAATGCCATTCACGATTTTGACATATACCACTTTACAATTGTGTAAAATAGGGCTTTTTTGCTATTTTCGGACCAAAAATGTACATTTTTGGCTCCTGTGCCCTAATATTAAATCCGAATGACCTGAAATTTGGTATGGGGATACCTTGGACACATGTCCAAAGAATGTCATTCACGATTTTGACATACACCACTTTAAAGTTATGTAAAATAGGGCTTTTTGGCTATTTCCGGCATTGGAAGGTTCCATTGCTGCATGGGGGTGTAGACTATTGGCAGCCATCGTAGGATAGATCCATTTTCGGTATGGGGGATGTGGTGAAGCCATCTGCTGCATTTGCTCTCAAGCAAATGTCGGCCTTTCTAGTTATCTTCTGTTTTTGTTGTGCAGACACAGTGGACACCGTCAGCAGGGCAACGCCAGCTGCTGAGGTAAATTGTGCAGTTGTACAGCTGAGGGGATTTTAATAGGGCTCCCATTTCTACTGGATTTATAATTAGTGACTAAGTGTAACTAATGATTTAGAAACATATTATGCCTTTACCTCCTGTTCAATAATATTCTGACTGCACTTCCCCTAATTCCTGTTCAACAGGCTCTTGGTAACAGTCTGGAGAGCATCTATGCAGAATCCGTCACATTAGACCCACAGGAGGTACTCCGGATTCTGGCTCAGGTTAGTCACTATTCAAACAATCTGTCATTTATTCTCACAAGAACAACAGCACTGGGATCTCCCCAGTAATGTGGAGTATGATGGTGCTGGGGTTAAACCACCAAAGGGCACTCACAATGGTGGTGGTGGGGTGGGGGTGAGGGTAGGCTCTCAGTCTTTTACAAAATGTCCGCCATTTCCTGGGTGTTCATCTTTGCATGCCACCCTTAACCCGAAACTGCATTTAAAAGAACAAACATTTTGTTTTTCCTTAAGTTGTATGATGGTGGTGGAACTACATGATTATACATCATTATGGGGAGACCAAGGTCAAATGACTCCGGGAGTAAATCAAGATTTTGCGTGATCAGCATGCATGAAGGCATTCATCTCTACGGCAATTAATCAAAATTTTAATTGTTCTTCGTGTTCTAATACTATCAGTCTGTTACTTCCCGATTGTTGGATCTCTAAAATGCACATTTAATTGATGATACCACAAAAATGTATTGATGTATGCCATCTGTTGTTGCTGTGCCAATTTTTAATTTCTGTTCGGTTCAATATTCTGTTATTGGCAGGACTAGAGAGTCAATAAAAACACACAGCACAATAGTGGCAAAGGTTCTATAACATGGACAGAAACTGGCAAAATTATGGATTGCTCCTTCACTGAATTGGTATCATAAGAAATGGCAATAAACATGATGGTATTATGGAAGTAGATGTTACATTTACATGAACCTGGCTCTTTGATTTGTTGCTACCGACCAACTTTATCTGCAACTTTGTCGTTCTTTAATGAGAAGGCCGCAGATGTGTCTGGAGATGATGTTGTGTTGGGGCAGCCGACATCAGCTGTTGAGGAACAGGCACAGGTAAGCCATGTTTGGTAGTCTGTAGATGTTAAACATTGCGAAACATTCAGGAAAGCTGTTTGGACCAGGTTAAGGAACAAACTTTAAGGTGTTCAGCCTTCTTATCCGTTGTTGTAGATGTGCAGGAAGGCAATTAAAACATGGGCCTCTGAAACGCGTCGGGCCCAGACGCCGGGACGTCTGCAAAGGATGTCTGAGATATCATCACCTGTCATTAAGCGCTGCCGTCCTGGCATGCCACAGGAGGATAAGGTACAAGTCTCAGATGGGATTTTTTACAAAGCTGAACCGTCTGATTCCTCACTACAACTACGACATGGCTCCTCATGCTGTGCAGAAAACTATAATGATCTTTCCCTAATTCTGGTTTTATGTATGATTGTGCCTAATATAGTATAGTTTTTACATGTATTGTGTTATGCATGGCACATTAGCCTTTGGTTTTATGACAAGTAGATTGTATTTTGTCATCCTTTTTCAATATTTAGATCTGCAGCATGGACGTGTTTGCACACCATACCAATGGCTATTCATCTTTCTCTGTACTTCAATGTGCTGAACAAAAACATTCATTGCTTCTCTCACAAAAATGCATTTAATTCAATTTCAAATCTTTGTTCAATTAGTGACATTCTGCTTGACATGTTTTCATATTTAGATGCTGGTTGAGTAACAAAAGTGTTGCTTTCAAATCTCAAAAGTCTAGTTTTAAAGCAACAAATTTATGCTGTCCTATAGGACAAGGCCATGGGTGTTCTGAAGTCCATCACCAGCAAACTGGACCAGCTGGACATGTCTGACCTATCGTCTGTCCAGTCTGTGGGAGGATGTAAGTACAATGCCATGTTCAGCAGTAGTACTGTGCTTCTTATAATGCAGTCATTACATGTATTCCAAACTTTTTTTAAATCCAGGAGAAACATATGATTATCATGTAATAACTAATATACACACACCGGTTGCACATGAACTAATTCAGGGATTGCGACATGCAACCTGCAAAAAAGGTTGCAGGTTAACTTAGTTAAAGGTGACTACTGCAGCTCTGGTGGAGTCTGTGTTGATCTGTGTTCATTACTTTGATAACGTTTCTGTTCTACTGCAGCTCTGGTGGAGTCTGTGTGGTTCTGTGTTTATTACTTTGATAACGCTTCTGTTCTACTGCAGCTCTGGTGGAGTCTGTGTGGATCTGTGTTCATTACTTTGATAACGTTTCTGTTCTACTGCAGCTCTGGTGAAGTCTGTGTGGATCTGTGTTCATTACTTTGAAAACGTTTCTGTTTTACTGCAGCTCTGGTGGAGTCTGTGTGGATCTGTGTTCATTACTTTGAAAACGTTTCTGTTTTAATGCAGCTCTGGTGAAGTCTGTGTGGATCTGTGTTCATTACTTTGAAAACGTTTCTGTTTTACTGCAGCTCTGGTGGAGTCCGTTGGTTCTGTGTTCATTACTTTGATAACGTTTCTGTTCTACTGCAGCTCTGGTGGAGTCTGTGTGGATCTGTGTTCATTACTTTGATAACGTTTCTGTTCTACTGCAGCTCTGGTGGAGTCTGTGTGGTTCTGTGTTCATTACTTTGACAACGTTTCTGTTCTACTGCAGCTCGCTCTGGTGGAGTCTGTGTGGTTCTGTGTTCATTACTTTGATAACGTTTCTGTTCTACTGCAGCTCGCTCTGGTGGAGTCTGTGTGGTTCTGTGTTCATTACTTTGATAACGTTTCTGTTCTACTGCAGCTCTGGTGGAGTCTGTTGGTTCTCTGCTTGAGGAACCAGAAAGAGATGAAGAAGAGGCTGATGTGAAACTCACCTCTGATCTAGAGGAGAACCAGAGTCTCTCTCCAAAGGAGCGCCTTCAAAAGGCGGAAGAAAAGAAGCAGGAGAACCAAGCTAAGGTATCAAAAAGTCATTGACAAAAATGCTTGGCTTCAATGTGCATTCTGTGCAACATTGTTGACTCTTAAATGTTTATTAATAAGTTCATCCATCGCCCTACATTCTAAGCTGTTTTCCCTTGCTTGAGTTTTTACATCAGGTGTATTTAACGTTGTATGTAATCATTCACCAAAGATGCATCTAATTCTTATCTTGACAAGGTCAGTCAACTGCAGATTAGACCATATAACACCAGAAAGGCCTCAATTTCAGATTCAGATTTTTTTCCCAAGGACATAGCAGGTACACGAATAAAATCAATATTACCTGAAATGCGCCATTGTTCACGAGGCAGCTCTGACCAAAAAGCTTTTTTAATAGATTCTGTTTTAACTATTGTATAAAAAAATTTAATGTATATATTTTATACTACCGCGTGTTATTAGGAACAGAACTGAATTTTCTGAGCAAAAGTAACAGTACTGATAATGATGATCACTGATTGATTCTTTGCAGAAGCAAAAGTTTGTCCAGCAAGGCCGCCAGGTCCTGGACGGTCTGTTCAATGCCATCATCGGCACCATGAGGCCAGGAGCCCCGGCGGTCACCATCGAGAAGGGCGGCATCACGATGCATGCCCAGAGGATCTGGGGCGCCTGGTTTGGAGGCCAGGTCGTGCAGACGGAGGATGGGAGCTTCCAATTTCCGTCCAAAGCAGCGCTTTTCCCGGACTATACACCACACAATGTCGCCATAAAGGTCGTGTCATGTCCTAGAGACATCAATAATCCTTGCCTTTCCTCTCTTCTACCCGTGTGATGATATATAAGTATGTTCATTGTTTAGAACATGTTTTAGATCAGTTTTTGTCCCTTCTTTCCACAATTTTTTTTACAAACATAATTGGATTTTTGGATTACTTATTATTAATTTGTTAAACTTTATACTTTTCAACATTACGCGTAATGTACAATAAGTTTTGTTTTCCATAAAATAGTATGCATACTTGTTTCAAAAGACGACGAGCTATTTTTTTTTATATTTCAGTTCATACAGTTTCAACAGAACCCTTTTACCTGGGGGCGCGGGGAGTACCAACCACGTTCGTCTGTCATGGAACTGTCACTCCAACAGAACAACTTCCCCGTGGCCTTCAACAACTTGACTGAAGACTTCATCATCACCATTCCAGCCAAATCCGGAAACAAACCAGCGACAACAACCGTCACCGTCCCTGCCCATGGAAACGGAAGTTCCAGCTACCATTTGCTGAACCTCACCAACGCCGCAGAAGGCTTCCTGGTCACAATCATCCCGCTGAACACCAGCGTGGTTTACCGTGTGTCGGGCAGGTACGGCAGCCGCCCTGATGACCAAAACTACAACATGTCCACAGAGACGTACGTCCTACCCGAGGAGTGTGCCTTGATGAAAACTCTGAGTGGCGAGATAGACACAGAGAAGACAGAGGCAAGAATGTTCATTTCGGGAAAGGATGGTCCTGTGGATTACTACATTGAGGTCCAAATACTTGGTGAGTAGTTTTCAAACACAACCATGCTTGGCAAAAGCAGAAGGGGAATGGGTGTGCCAGATAAAAGTGGAATTATTGTCCATAATAATATAACTAAACTACCTAATGTTTGATGATAACTGTTATTTTATTGTGTTATGAACTTCAAGGAAAACTTTAAATGCGCGATGTCTGTTTGAATAGGTCTAGTTTGAATGTTGGCATGGTTTTTAGTGTGATATTTAATGTAGTAAAATCTGAATGTAGAAACTTAAGGTGCCTTATGCTGTTGGCCCAGTTTGCAATGTGATGTTTGTCGACAACCTTCATTAGTAACAGCTACATGTACCTGTGAAGCTGAGCATGTACAATGAAATTGAGCAGGTCACTTTATGTGTCTTTTTTAAGCACCAGTGACTGAGTGTGGCAGTGACAAAGGTACCCACGTGAAGAAGCCACACGCCACTGACTTCTATGCCTACCAGATGGAATGGGCCCGTTTGGGCTGTGTCTTTTGGAGTGAGATACAGGAAGCCTGGAGGCCAGACGGCTGCTCGGTGTGTACAGGCTGCGTCTCCATGTTTGGGACAACTTCGTTAATCATAATTATCAAAATTATAACACATGTACCTGTGCTAAATACCCGACACAGCATTATAATTTACATGTTTAGACTAGTAGTAGATTTGATACAGATTTATATGTGACCACACTCACAATGCAAAAAAAGTTAAAAATTCAAGCATACATTAAATGATTGCTTTGTACTTACAAAAAAATACTGAAACCAATGATTTATTTTATTAAGCCACTCCTGATTGAAACAAGATGCAAATTTACTTACTACATGTATATTAATCCTTATTATTTAGTAAGTAGGCTGTTTCGCAGTTGCTGCCTTGGTGATGATTTGGAAAACAGGAAATTTTTGGCATTGTGGCCTACACTTTTTTAGCCAATCTAAAGCTGTGAACATCAATAATTATTGTCATCTTTATACCATAACTTTCATGAATAAATAATAGCTGTTGTCCAGATATAAAGAATGAGTCTTTGGACTTTGGTAAATGATTTTGACAACATGTCTCTTTACTGCTTTCTACAGATAAGCAAGCAGTCCACCATTACCAGCACTGTCTGTCACTGCAACCATCTGACGGCCTTCGGGCGTGACTTCGCCACACCGCCGAACACCATCGTGTTTGAGGCGTTGAACTTCAGTGATCTTGTAGACAACGGTGCCGTTGTGATGACCATCATTGTGGGGCTCTGTTTCTACTTACTCGCCTCACTGGTGATCAAGATTGCTGAGCGTACAGGAAAAAGGAAGGTAAGTGGGCGTCATCAGTCAACCAACCATATCAGACCAACAGAAGTGGCCATGTGTAATGTCTTTGCTCTGTGGACTTGGTAATTACAATTGGATTTCTAGTACATGTTTCTTCAGCCTTAGACTTTATTTTGATATTTATCATATTATTTATTGGTTTGGTAGTGAAAGCCAGGCCTGCCCAACTAGCCACTGGCAATCACAAACCCTGCCAACAAGGACAGCATGTGTAATCAAAGAATGTTTTGTCATCAAAACGTTTAACTATCTAGCATATTAGCAGTGCATCTGCAGTACCTACAGTAATGTTTCATTCTTCAGGAGGATTATTATATAGTATCTACTGTGAGATGCCAAGGTCAATATGTAGGGAACATTCATGTTCTATCTCTTCGTACATTGCTACAGTCAAATGGAGCTGTAAAGTTGGACAACCTTCAGGACAACTTCCGGTACCGCCTTCTCATCTGGACAGGTGCTGCTAAGCATGCTGGGACAGACTCCATTGTTGCCTTCAACCTGTTCGGAGATGCAGCAAACTCTGGTGTTAGACTAGTCGACATCACAGAGAAGGTCAGGTCATCAAATTAGGCACTGACCACTCCTATTGCCATTTCATCACCCAACTTTCCTCTGTAGATGTTTTAACTCACAGCATGTCCTAACAGGTAGAATTTCTGTTGCTGTTCAGGTTTTCACCCGAACCAGCCAGGTGACCCTGACCTTCAGCACAGCAGAACAGCTGGGTAAGGTGGAGCTGCTGCAGCTCATGCACGACAACAGTGGGGAGGGGAGCCGCGCATCGTGGCACGTGGACCGAGCAGCCGTGCAGGATCTCACCACAGGCAAACTGTGAGTCCAGCCAAGCGCTGTTTGCTTTCACCCATAATCATAATCATGGGAGGGTTGCTTAATAAAGATTTCACCTGACCAACTTTCAGGTGTTGTAGAGGCTAAAACTGTCATGTGCAATAAATGGTACTGAGGTCTATAGTATGGACTTCTAAAAGTTTCCTTATTACAGCAACTTGGGTCTATCTGTGCTGCATTTTTCGAATAGAAATTTGAATGTGATTTTGGAACAGCTTGAATGTTGTGTGAAACATGTATATCCCATTGCTAATGAATAGTGTTAAAAGTGCTGCTTGCACACACAATAGAACCACTATACTTAAAATAGAATTAATGGTTAAAACCAAACTTTCTCCATTGTCTTGATTTAGCGGAAGGAAGCTGTTGATAATTGTTTAACCTCCATTAACACTTTACTTTCACAGCAGACATGTACAAGGATTTTTGTTACATCTAACAGAGTTCTATTTCCTTCTCTTGGAATTGCAGGTTTTATTTCTTCTGCAACGAGTGGCTGGCAGCCGACCGCGGGGACGGGCAGGTCGTGAAGACCTTTCCTGTCGCCTCTGAGGAGGACCTGCGATCCTTCGGGTTCCTGTTCCCAGCAAGTCTGTGGTCTACCCTGGTAGACGAACACCTGTTTCTGTCCGTGGCTTTCATGCCTGAAGGTATCAGCGATTTTGTTTTTTTAAGTTTACTGCATTTTATCTTGGCTGGAGGTCTATATCACAAGATTTTATTTTAGAAGGTTTTATTTCTTTTACAACTAGTGGCTGGCAGCCGACCGCGGGGACGGGCAGGTCGTTAAGTAGGGGCATTGTCATTAGATAGCTTTAAACAGTGCCTAGAGTTAGATGTTCAATGGTTAGGTGTAACAAGTCGATCGGTGTAATGTAGCCAGCTGCCGCCGAGCCGCGTGCCTGCGATGCTTGTATGTTACGCCGAAAGGCGGTTATACCGGCTACACTGATACAGATACAGATTTATACTACATGTATGTCTAAAAGTTCCCTCATACTAGTAAAATTCTACTTTTGATTGGTATACATAATTAATTATTGTCTCTTGCTGGCTGCATTTGATCCGGAGTGTTGCTTCCATTCTTGATGTAAAATGTCCCCCATTATGTTTCCTTTACAGATAGCGTGTTCACCCGCATCGAGAGGCTTGGCTGCTGCCTGAGTTTCTTTGCTGCATCCATGGTGTCCAGCGCCATGTGGCTGAGGGACGAAACAGAAACCGAGGTCGTGCGGGTCTTCAGCCTGGGACCGTTCTACTTCACCTTGAACGGAGTCTTTACGGGGTTCATGGCCAGTATCACCTGCCTTCCCGTTGTCCTGGCGATAGTCCTGCTGTTCCAGTACAGCCGGCCGAGCAGCAAGGGCGAACACCGGGTCCGAGACGTGGAGACGGGCGGCCCACCTAAGGCACCCACGCAGAAGGGTCCAGCCAAGGGCCTGCCACACGGGTGCAAGTACGTGGCCTGGATGCTGGTGGTGCTGTCCTTTCTAGGGTCAGCTGCCTTCACCATGCTGTACAGCTTGGAGTGGGGCAAGGTCAAGACTGATAGTTGGCTGACTGTCTTCGTCATCACTTTTCTGGTGGACATCTTCCTTCTGCAGCCACCGAAGGTAAGGACATACTCTATGTGGAATTGCCTACTTGTAGATGATTATAAGTGGAACAATATCTTGATTATGTTTTGTTGCATTTGCAATATGTTACTATAGTCACCTGTCAAGACCGCTCAACTGAGGATATCATTGTTGATATACATGTGACTGCTTTATTACTAGGTAAACAATACTGTGATTAATTTTGTGGCAGTCACCATGTGTTTACTGAGTATGTTTGTTGCAGTAATTATGTGCTTACTGAGTGTTTTAACACATTGACGTGGCTGCAACCCGCCATGCCTAGCACTACATGTATGTAGATGTAGTTGTATGAGGTATTTGATACACTTTTCCTTACTATAGCTAGTTTAAATCCTGACCTACGACATGCTGAATACAAGCAACATCCCAAGGATGATATCACCATCTTAACTGTTCATAAACCCTAACAACCAACTTTTATCTCACAGATATTTCTTTTTGCCATCTTGACTTCATCCCTTCGCAAGAGACAAGCCGTTGAGAAGATTTTTGAAGAGAAACGAGACCCCGTTTGGATGGAAGCCAATGCAGTGTCAGGCTTCAACTGTAAGTTTGTCATCATAATTCCACCAGGACAAGGCATACATATGTATATCCTTCACAGTGAACAAAATGTATCTTGAACAGATGTATCTTAACAATGTAAATCATGATTAATGGTGAAAGAAAGCCATTTCTGTGCTGTGTGAGCATACCAGACATGGTTTTGTGAATTGATCAGTCATTTCTTCTTGCTTCCATTTGTGGTGGTGTGAATGTTCTTAGACTAACAAATATGTAGGCCATACTCAGACGTTTTCTATATGTTTCATGCTTACTACAGGTGATGCATTTCGTATGAGGAGAAAGATGGAGCGGCGTTCAATGACATCCCTTATCAACATCAAACAAGCAAGGAGGAAGCAGCATAGGGACAGAAGATTTTGGGAAATCTTTAGGGAAATCATGTGTTTTTGCTGTTGTGTGCTGCTTGTCATCGGCATCTCCAACGAACACCACAACACCACCCAGGCCTTCTATCAGACACAGAGCACAACCAACACATTTGTGCAGTCCTTGGACGAGGTAAGTTCCTTACAGGGCCTTTCATTGGTGTCTGTTCACTGAATCATTGCATTGGTCGGTCCTTTCAAGGCCGTGGAAAACCCTAAGGCTTATGTTTTAGTCATCCCCAAAAATCATTCTATAGATTATGAAAATTTTATTGTAAACTTTTTTTTTCTCTAAAGTAAAAATGTCCTGCCTGCCTAAATGCTTAGGCCAGAACTGGCCCCTTGCTCCTCTTCATTTTTTCCCGCCAGGCATCACGGTCCTTAGCCTTTTGTTCAGCGTACATGAGGGACCACCCCGTGTCCTGTACTATCTGGTCCCGCCATCTTTTAGGGGGTCTACCTCTAGGTCTGGGGTTTGTGAAATCCTGATGGTAGGCCCCATATACCAAAGAGTCTGGGGGTCTCCTCTGAACGTGACCAAACCACCTCAGCCTTCTTTTACGAATGTCGTCAATTATGGTATTTTCCATTCCCAGCATGGCTCGGATTTCCTCATTTCTGATGTGGTCTCTCCATGAGACATTCAGGATAGCCCGCAGGCATCTCATTTCAAAAGCCAATAGGAGTTGTTCATCACTTTTTTTCAATGTCCATGTCTCACAAGCATAAGTTTCTATTGGGAAAATGAGGGCATGTAACAGACGGGTTTTGAGGTGCCTACTGACATCAGACCTGTTCCAAACTGTTTTCCTGAGTCTGCCAAAGGCAGAAGCAGCAAGGGCAACTCGCCTCTTGACATCGCTTGTTGTACCAGGAATAACACTTCCTAAAAATACAAAATCTTGAACTTTTTCAACCGTGGAACCCTCTATGCTTACATCCTCGTCTAACTCAGGGGAAATGACTTTGCACTTAGCCGCGTGTATCACTGCGGAATTTCAACAATTTTTAATTGTGCATCTGTAGTTGTTAGTTTCGTTCACAAAATATTGTGGTTTGGTCTACTCTGTAAAACTGACTTATGACTTACTGAACATAAAGCAAGAAATAGTATAAATGGATAATTCCAGACAATATGTGGCATCTTTTGTAAAAGCATGGATAAAGTACATCTGGACCACTAATATTAAATATGATATTTTTGTCAATGTTTCTATAGTGTACCAGTAGCTTAGAGCAAAAAACAATACCACTTTCACACTGAACGGAGAAAATCAATGAAAAAGTTCCGAAGGGTGTGAATAACTTTTTCCTTAACTGTATTTCTAGATGAGATTTAGAACATGAATTCACACGTGCGAAAGGTAGATTTGCCACACTAGACAATTGTTATTTTTGTACAGTAAGATCATCAGGCTTTATTTCTCCATAGGTCAATGATGCTGATGCCTTCTGGTCCTGGCTGAACGGGACCGCCCTGGAGAACTTCTACATGGACACTTCCTACAATGGCCACAAGCTTCGCTGGCAGGAGAAGGGCTTCACAGCAGACATGCAGTCGGTCCTGGTCGCCCCGCCTAGCATGATTCAAGCCCGAGTAAAGCCAGGTGATTGGAATCACCTTGCATGAAATATCTGGTGTGGGCTCACATGGCATGCAACAGATGTAATTCTACATGCTGTAGAGGAAACACTAGTAGTGAAAAGTTACATTTGAGAAATCATTATGATTTAAAGACCAACTGAAACAAAAAAGTCTGTAAAATACATACGAATATTGGAAGTGTACATACAATAATAATCACTGAAATTGAGTTTGTACGGCTTTCTTGATGTGACTTTTTAGAGACTCTCTAGTAAGCTTCCTAGTGGTTCACTTCGAGCATTTCTATTTGCATCTCTCTATGATTTACTTTTGCATTTTTGTGCTTCTTCCCGAGAAGCAGATATGCAAAAATAAAATGTAGAGATGCAAATCGCCCGCCAGGACTGCCTTGTGCTGACCTTTCCAAGGCAGGGCATTAGAATTTCGAATGTAACAGGAGAACCGTGCATATTTATTGCAAATGTGTCTGTTAGACAGGTAATACTGATTATGTCAAGTACAATCAGGTAAGGTCATATTTTGGTGCCATGAGCACCTTAAAGGTAAAGGAATACCAAAAATAGCAAACGGTAAACTACCATTTGTGACTGACTACTAGCATTATTCCTTTTCATCTTCTGTTATCCTAGGGCTGTGCACAGTGCCAACAGCAATGCAGAAGTGGTTTGAAGAATGTTCATCAGGGTACGATGAACACACCAAGGAGACCGGAGCATTTCAAAAGGGTTGGGAAAGGGTCAGCAATACGTCAGCAAACGAGTCAGAAGCCCCTGGATGGACCCACCTTCCCAGTAAATACCCCAGTCTCCCCATTTATGGTGTGACAACGCAGTACTTGGGAGACGGCTTTGGTCTGAACCTGGGAAAATCTGCAGACGAAATGCGCAGCATCCTGGCAGAGCTGAAGGCCAACCGTTGGGTCGACAAGCGGACGAGGGCCATCTTCTTAGAAGCGTTGCTCTACGATGGAAACCTGGATATGTTCACATCCGTGACGATGGTGTTTGAATTTCCCGAAACGGCCGGAGTTTTCACCCATCATCACGTGCAGGCCTTCCGACTTCATCAACGGCCGGGGACGATCGGGTACATCTACGTCCTGTTGGAAATCATTTACGTCATTGTTCTCCTCTACACACTGTGGAAAGAGGCGAAAACTGCACTTGCAACCGGCTTGGCCTACCTGAGGGAGCCATGGAACATGGTCGAAATCTTCAATTTCTTCTTGACATTCACTGTCATCGCCTTGTACGGCTTCAAGAGGAACTACAGCTCCAAGACTCTGGCAGCAATCAATGCCGGGAAAGGTGTGTTTCATATTTATGCAAATAAAAAATCATACATGATATTGATCGAAAATTGAATTGACATGCCCACTGTTTGGAAACATGCAACATTCTCAGACTGATAGAATGTAATTATTCAGCACTGTACTAATTATATGCATTGTTTTTTTAAACTAAAGATGAGGTCCACCATTTCCGATCTGCGGTGAACGTAAGCCTGGTTTACGGCTGGTTCCTGGCCTTCCTGACGTTTGTCAACATGTTGAAGTTCCTCCGACTGCTAAGGTTCAACCCATACCTTGCCAAGCTGATGTCCGTGCTCCGAGGGATGTCGGTGGAGTTCGCTTACTTCACCCTCTACCTTTTCCTCTACCAGACAGCATTCGGCGTCTGTGCTCATCTCATGTTCGGCCATACGGTGACCGAGTACAGGTAAGGAAACATTTCTGTCAAATACATCATATCTCTTTTCATAATTAAGTTTTCATTTTTGAGTACTTCAGTGAGGGTAGAGAACTTGTGACTGCTTGAATGTTAGGTTATCATTACTACGATTTAACTTTTAAATTTGTATTTTTCAGCACCATCAGCAAGTCCTTCTCCACCTTGTTCCAGATATCTCTTGGAAACTTCTACTACTACGAGCTGCGGGAGGCAGCCCCCATCTCTGGCCCCATCTACTACTTCACGTACATTTGCATAATCTTCCTGGTGCTGATGAACATCGCCACGGCGATCATCGACAGTGTCCTTCGAATTCACAACGTGCGCAAACACATCATGTCCGAGGAGGACCAATACTTCATCCAAGGGTTGTGGGAACACTTCTCGGCCTTCTTCGGCTTCTGGAAGGTGCCAGTCACAGGTAAAGTAGTTCTCTGTTCTAACAGACAGCACAGCCAACCAAGAATTCCTTAATTCCTCACTATTTGTAAGCTCTGTCTACTTTGCAAAACATTTTAGTACAAGATGTGGAATTGGGACTTGAACCCAGGATCTTTGCTCCATCACTTAGCCGTAATGCACATACGACAGGATGGCAGCAGTAAGGACCAAAGATAGTTCCTGTGCTGTCCATGGAACCAACCTCCCTGAACTCCTTTCTTTCCTCTGCCCCATTTTTTCTTTGTTAACTCAAAACAGTTGGTTTCCCTCCATTCATACCCAGTGTAAGCTATATATATGTTTGCTGCATGATATTTATTACATTGTTATCTCCTTTGTTACTTTTCATCATATTTTGTTTGCTTTGCATGTTTGCCATTATAATAATTTAGTAATTAATATTATACATATATTCTCAGCACAAGGGAGTCCATGGAAAGGGTATCTGACCTCTCCTGCATGATCATCATCGTTGTTGTTGTCATAAATGATTTATTTCATGTGTGAATAAAGAAAACTGACTGAAGTATTTCCACCGACACAGATAACAACTCCTTGGACACTCTTCATGACAGCCTGGTCGAGGTGGAGATTAAAGTGGAGAAACTGTGGCTGAAGAGACAGTTGCTCTTCAACCTCAAGTAAGTAAAAAAAATGGTACTTGAGCATGATCAATGCCCTTTAATAGTGCCAGCACAGTACCTAAATAGAATTGAACATGAACACTCAATTTACAAGATATTTTGAAACTCGAACACCTGTATCCTCACAGGATGAAGGACACAGACCTCCCCGCAGAGCCTGAGTTTGTCCCAACTGTCAAAGATGTTCCCGACGCTACAGCAGTGGAACTTCATGTCCCCAGAGGAGGCTGCCGCATCATTACAGTCCGTCCTGCATCCCCATTTAACTGCAAAGATGACAGCAGTCAAGGGATCTGCTCTGGCAGCAAGGCGCCAGTGATTTTGGCATCCGGATCTCCGTCAAAAAAGGAGGACATCCAGCTAAGTCACCAAACCAAGCCATTTAAGTCCATCCCATCTAAGTCCATCCCATCTAAGGAGAAAGAAGGTGGCAAGACGTCGACCAAGAGAGCTCAAACTGTTCTGCATCAAGTAGGGATGCCACGTCTCAACTTGAGCGCTCGTGACAAGGCGGCTCTGACAAGAGACGAGATGCTGACAGACGACCACATCCAGGCTGCCCAGAGGCTGCTCCACCACCAGTACCCGGCACTCCAAGGCCTGGAAGCCCCTACAGTTGGTCTCTGCGAGGACGGGTTTGCCAAGATGACAGGAAAGGGCCTACAAATCCACCACAACAGCAGAATGCACTGGGTTCTGTCGTCTTACACAAGCGGACAAGTGCGCCTGTATGACAGCATTGGCGCCGACATGACCACATCTCTGCAGGTCCAGCTTTACCAATCCTACGCCGCGTTTGCCGAGAGTAATGTCCTGACCATCATCCTACCAGAGGTACAGCGTCAGAATAATGTCACTGGTTGTGGACTGTTCACAATCGCCTGGGCAGTGGACATCGCAGAGGGGCGAGACGTGAGCAGCATTGCGTATGACAACAGGAAGATGAGGAGCCATTTGGTGATGTGCTTCAAACAAGGGAGGCTCACACCTTTTCCTCGTCTGACCAGCCAGAGAAAGAAAGTTGGTCTAACCAGGGTCAGTAGAGTCTCACTTGTTTGCCGCTGCAATCAGGAGGAGCGCCTGGGAAGGATGGAGAGGTGCATGGCATGCCAGAGGATCTTTCACATCAGCTGCCTGCCAGCTGCAGTCAGCCCTCCCGGTCCCAGTGATGACACTTGGGCATGTGGAGACTGCAACGTGTAAAACCCAAAATGCACTGTAAGGCCACCCCAATTTAATTTGTTGGTTCTCGGATTCGCCTCTAGATTTTTTCTGATTTGCAAAAAAAAAAAAAAGATTTTGGTTCTGAATCAACTCAAATATGCTCGTATTCTGCCCCCAACAGTTGATGAAAGTCCCTTTCTTCATTACTAGTCATTACAGTTTTTCCACCTATCAATGCAGTGGTGTGATAAAAAATTTAAAATTCATTGTTTAGATATCAACCCAGTCTTTTGTGTTGACTTCATAGCTCCTATCGTGGCATTTGGGGCTATAATAAGATGCCTAGATCTGTTTTTATTTTTATTTTTTTTTCGCCCTGTCGCTTCATATTTTTTCTGAAAAAAAATCCGAGAACCAACAAATTAGATTGGTGTGGCCTAAAAACTGGTTAACAACTGGAGTCAAGAATGAACTCTGCTGGCATAAGAAAAGAAACAATGATGGGAACATGGCGTGATTGTCTCTGGAATAATAGCAAATTGCGATCACACCAATCTTTACTGCATTTTCTTATTTTTTCCCCAAAAATTTTGTGTAGTACCGGGGTATTGCCGATTTAAACTTGTCTTATTTCAGTAAATATTGTTACGTAGTTAAAATAGATTTGCTAACTACATTTCCAGGTACTTTGTTGTCAGTACATTTCATACGTATATATAGTGGAATGCTCTATATGTGTGTTAATTTATGTGTAATATGTGCTTAAAGCATTAATTTGTAAATAGCAAGATATTTGAGAGAAAACTGCTTTTCTAAATAATAGCAGTAGTAGTAGTAGTAATAGACGGAGGCATCATGCTGGTGTTTTACGCCGAAAGGCGGTTATAACGGCTATACAGATACAAATGTTGCATGACTACAATGTAAAAAAGAACAAAGAACATGTCACTTGTGTCATTTTAATAGGATTTGATCATTTAGAACAGCTACATCTAACTGCTTGTAAAATATTGCTTGAGTATGCTTTTGTGCGATTGTCTCTGATATGAATGTGTAATGCTGGTGAAAACAGAAGATGTGTGCTTATGTTCACAGGGAAAGGAAGGTCCCTGTTAGGACGTTTTTTTAAATAGTGTGGCATATCTTAGCATTGCATGTATAAATAGCGAAGATTTTACAAATTGGGCCTTTACTGGCAAATAACACCCACCCAACAAACTGAAACAAATTTCTAGCTTGTTGCCTGTAGTATCCGAATCCCCAAATGTACACTTTTGGTTTATAGGTCAACCTTCGTATAAGAAACAATGGACCATTCCACATTTTCAATAGGGCTGTGCTCCAATAAATTTAAGGTAGATGATAGCAATGCCTTACCATTTCAAACTGTAAATAGGGGAGGGGGTCACATAATTAAAGTGATTCTCGAAGTGACAAAACCAAAGATTGTTCCATGTATAATGATCCTTTGGCAGCAGGATTTTATTTGGAACTTAATTGTTTATTCCATGATAAGACAACATGAGTATTTTGAGCCCTGGATATGCAATTTTTGCATTGCTGTTTTTTGTAATCTTGTTGTGCATGCAGCTTACAAGTAGAGCATTTATTAAAAAAATCAGCAATTTGAAACCTAAATAACTGACAGACTACATGAAAAGCAAATTCCGTGCAGCACTCTGTTTATCATTGGTCATGAAGCAAGTTACAATTCTGAAATTACAAGGAAGTAGTGGCATTATGTAAATTTCCAAATTACGTCGCAAAATTTGAACTTCCAAATTATTTCAACGTCAAAAAATATGTCAAAATGTTCAATATTATGATGTAAACATCACACACGTGAGTTATATAAATATTAAATTAGAAAAAAATAATCTTGGAAATTATCAATTGAATTTTTGAAATTCATTGTGTTTGTACATTTTAGACTAAATCCAAACAGCGACATTTGTATCCGGCATATTAATTCAATAAAGATTCATTCATTTGCTGATTCAGCATGTGTCTTTATTTAATGTAAGGAAGCATTTAGAGGTAGGGTTTCTAACCAGCGTGTTTTGCTAGATGTCTGTCCAAGGTACATTTCTGTACAGCAGAATAGTCACACTTGTCACATTTCTGAAGTTTTTCTCCTGTGTGAGTTTTAATATGTCGGCACAGGCTAGACTTTTGAGTTGTCCTGTATCCACACTCCTCACACATTTATGGTTTCTCACCAGTGTGTTTTGCTAGATGTTGATCCAATTTACTTTTCTGTGCAGCAGAATAGTCGCACTGGTCACATTTGTGAGGTTTTTCTCCTGTATGGGTTTTCATGTGTACGGATAAGTGAGACTTGCAAGTTGTTCTGTATCCACACTTCCCACACATGTTTAAAGGGTTCTTGTCAGCTTGTGCTGCCATCTGGCCTTCAGTATTGCTTATTTTGCTGTCATAGTCTACCTGGGAAACTCCGGTTGGAGACTAATCAAAACAGTTCTTATCTACTCCGGTGGGAGACCCGTGTCCTGTTGTTGCCATGTTTAGCTTGCTGGAAAAAGAAAAAAAAAGTGACCTATAAACAAACTACTTCTCTGTTTATTCTTAGTCAAACGCATCCATATATGATGACCGGCCTTTCAACTCTGCCCTATTACGTAATGTAACCCAACACCACTAATCTACCACAACACCAGTTACCATTGTGACAGACTTCTAGTCCAGGTTAGTGACCTTATTTTTTTAATTAAAGAAAAAAAACAAAAACAAAAAAACAATAATGATCAATAACGTGACGTGAGTTGAGATTCAAAAAGCGTTATTGGCAATTTGTCCAAAATCTGGAACCGTGGACAATCCAGAATTGCGAAATTATCTGAAAAAACAAGAGCGGAATGATTTTTGATTACACTAGGGAAAAGATAACGTGTAGTAGCCCCCAGGGTGTAACATTTCATATTTCCCATCTGAAGAGACATGTCACATTTCTGGTATTGCTCCAGTGCTATGGGTCTGGCACCCAGGCTATCAAATTCACTTAAAGGTCTCCTTTTTGGTCTCATAACACAGTATTTATGGGCTGACACAAGGTAGTGAGCGAAGCATAGTACTTGAGGAAGCAGCCGACATTCTTTCGTGCAGGATAGTGAGGTGAAAACTATGCTGAATTGTAGAGGAATGCATCGGGTTTGAGACCGTAGAAGTTGAATCAGGATGTTTGTTCGGCAGGGGTCGATTCGTGCCTGGATCCTGTTAGTGTTACGGCCTAGTACTTTGCGTCGGCTGCAGTTCACATGACCCCCGCAAATTGCCAAATAAAAGTGTTTTTTGTGCGAAAACGGGCCGACAATCTTGGGCATATTTTGTAGGGTGTACCATCAACCCAAACATATTGAATTTTCGTAACTTGCATGCTTGTGCACCCTACTATAAATTTTGCAGCGTCGAACCTTCTCAAGTTGGGCTCCTTAACTATTGAAATCCCCATAGAGCCAAAACTGAGTACTGCTACCTTATACCTCTGGTACTGCGGTAGTGATCCCCCCGTGCACCCCTCCCCCCTCCTTAATTGAGCTGAGCGCCGTCATATTTTCCTCACCATCCAGAGCAAATATTAAACCTGGCGATCCGTGACCGCGTCACTCTGGCCGTTCACCCACAGAAATGAGCCCCAAACTCTTACGTTTAGCATCACAATACCTAGGTACCAAACTGCTCGTTTTAACCCTTACCTGCTTCCTATGATGTTTTTTCTCTTCGCGTAAACCGAGATCGGGAGCCTGATTGTGCACCTGATAAAACAAAGCTCTCGATGCTTCATTAAAATGGAAGTCATCGGACGGGCCAGATCTTTTTATAGTAGGGGCTCGACAGCTTTGTCTTAGAAGGTCAGAACCTACATTTTGTCAAATGTGAATATGCTCCAATACATATCATTATGTTCCAGATTGTGTTGTGTTTTTGGCGACGTCTCAGGGAGTAGCCCAATGGTACAGTATTGGGTGCAGTGTGCAAGAATTCTAGGAATGGTACAGGCATTTTGTTCACGGGCATGGAATGTCCACAGGCATTTCTCTGACCCACATCTTTGCCCACATTCCTGGAAAGCCTTGGGAAGACCTCTCTGCCCCGGATGCCCTACTTTCTGTGACCCAGGGACTCGTTTTTAGTACGGTATGCCAAAATACCTCAACCGAACTCAACCGGCCTCAACCGACCGCAACCGACCTCGTAATGGGTTAATATGCAGTGAACATGGGCTAACAACCCTTTCCAACGCTCTGGATACATTGTCAATGCTTGTATGAATGGAAAAAAGTACTGTAACTCTGACGTATTTACCAGTTTTTAAAAGTTATTCCTCTGGTTTGACGTTAGAATGCTTTTCATGGCCCCCATGTTTGATCGCCATCGCCTCTGAACACCTTTTGCTTTTATACAGGCAACAGAACGCAAAGATGATGGTTATAAGTCATAGTAAAGCACAAATACTATCATAACCAACTCATAATAGCTATATACAGAGTGACATCCAAGCACGTACGCCTACCGGCTTGACCTCCATTGACTTCAAAGAGGAACGCTCCCCGGAACCAACAGGGATCAACAACTCATCCCTTCATGCTTTTAAATTTTGGAAATAACAAGTAGAAAAAGCGTTGGAAAAGGTTGTTAGCCCGTATATACTGCATATTAACCCATTACACGGTCGGTTGCGGTCAGTTGAGGCCGGTTGAGGTCGGTTGAGGTATTTAGGCAGACCCGTTCACTGTATACACTCAAGGGAAGATTGCACTGTATCCTCTGTGAAAATTCAGGCGTCCCGGACGGTCCGGACGCCCATCCAACAGTATCCTGAGGCCCTAAATCCTTTTATACTTGGTTTCATGTCGTATTAACCTTTGGTTCGTTTGAAATTTAAATGATGATCCCGTCAATATCAGAATGTTTCCATTATTGACAGGATTTTTCCAGCCAATAGTGGAGACTTTTGCACTGTTGACACGACCATCCTGTCAATAACAGATTCTGAAGAAAATAAGTTTCTGTTACTGTCAGGGTGGTCCTGTCGATTTCCTTTTGGAAAACAAAACAAGAAATTTTGTTATCCTCTGACAGTGGTCAACATGCCGAAAATAGGCAAATATGTCTGTTACGTATACCATGCCGGAACATGGATGGCAGATAAATATGAAGAGAGGAGACAAAACAAGGATCTAATTTGACTTTTGATTTGGAGTTTTGTCTTTCATTTTGATGCAGTGATGTATTTCATTCCTTTTATATGTGATGGTGGCTGTTTATATGTCATGTTCCCTCTACGTCAAAACCATGTACAATGACTAAAAACTTTAATTTTCAAAGTTGTGTCAGTTAGAAATGATGCACCCTCATGCACCCTACGCTGCGTGACGTCTCACCGCCTCGGCTTCTTCGTACGTGTGTGAAGACGCATCGTCGTCTTCTGGCTGCTTGTCGGGAGCGCCGTTGCCCTGGCGGACATGCCCGCGTGAACCACCCTGATGGACGGGACGGGGCTGGGGCGGCCCGCTGGTGTGGCCGCTGCCGGGGCCGGAGAAAGAAGGCCGGACAGCCTCTGCCTGCTCGTACAGTTTACCGTACTGTATTAACTGTGTACTCACTGTGACAAAAATTATAAAAATACAAAACAATACCTTGATTAGTCTGGCTTCGTAAGCTCACGTGTAAGAATCACGTGGCACGAGGGGTTTGGTGAATGCGGCGGCGGCAATTTTTAATGTGAGAAATAAACCAATCACTAATACATGTACTACTACTAGTAATATTTTCTTATGTTTTCTTCCTCTCAAATATCTTTTTATGGATAATTATTTTGCATTTTATTGTTTAAAAAAATTATTTACCTTTCAATCTTTTAGGTTCTTTTCCAATTCTAGTCTAGAGAGATGCAAATGTATGCGCCATTTTTTTTGAAAAGGAGATAGAGCGGTCCCCAGCAACTACAGACCTGTTTCTCTGACCTGCATATCCTGCAAACTACTTGAACAACAGTGTATGAACAACTATGAAAGGGGTGCTAGAAATGAAAAGAAACCTACAGTGGGTATCACTGGAAGACAGAGGAAAAATGTCCAGAGTATGCATGATGTGAATAATGACTAATAAACTGGTGGACGTTCCAATTACTAAGTACCTAATACCAGCCCAGAAGAGAACAAGAAATAGCCATGTCTTAATTCAAGAACCAGAGTTATCAACCAAGGATTGAGGTGTTCAAAAACAAATTCTTTCCTAGAACTATCGCAGAGTGGAAGTACAGTAAGGACATTGTCACTGGATAGCTTTAAACAATATGTGGATTTGGATGTTCAAGGGTTAGGTGTTACAAGTCATGCAGTGTAATGTAGCCAGCTGCTGCTGCGCCACGTGCCTGCGAAGCTGATGTGTAACGCCGAAGGGAGGTTATACTGGCTATATGGAACAGATAGTCAATTAGACCCTTTTTGGTGTACCAAGATTTCCCTTTTCACACAACCAGTTACAGTGAAAACAAGAAGCCATAGGTGACAATCCTCCGTGAAGTTTTATATATTGCAACAAAAGTTGCAATATATGCAATCCCAAGCGTCAACGCCAGACCTGCTGTGCAGACATTAGGCAACGGTTAATACAATGAGGGCGCGTCACGACCATAAAACATAAAAAGACCTTAATCCATTACTGCTCCACAGTGTAAAGATACTGTGCTTCAAGTTCGAAGTTCATTTTAATTACACACACACAATCATTGCATTCATATAAAGATCGGACTATCATGGTCGTGTCACTAGTAACAAAGACAGCCCCACCGTCTTACCGTTCCTGTTAGTTTAATATTAAGCGCGACTGGCTAGGCCAAAATCCAGCAACAGTTGCGGCCAGCACCGCGAGTGTTACTACCGCCGGTCAGATACCCGGGCGAAAAAATCTCAACGACCTTATAGGGGTGTTTAAAAAATAAGCATTTACTCCAATATCAAAACTGCTAGGGTAGAAATAAAAAAAAAGTGCATCATCACGGGCATAATGGCACACCACATGCGAAATTACACAGACATGCTATGTACGGAAGAATGCGTTTTGGCTGCGAACATCTTCCAAAAAACTTACCATCTCTTAAGCACGGGCAAAAACATCTGGAACCATTTATCGGCCCCTCACCGTATCTGTCTGAAGTTCCACCCACCCCACCGCTATTCCAAACAACGGGTTTTTCTGGACCATTCCAATTTGCCTCATAATTGTAGGGGTGCATCTGCAATATTACATTGACCGCGAAAACAGCAACGGCAAAAATACACGTTCGTGCATCAACACGGGCATGCCCGCAGACGGCGTATAAAATTGCGTGCCGATTACACAAAGAGAACCCAGTGTTTTGGCTGCGAACACGAAACACTCACAGCACTCCGTCCGGAAGTCCTGACCTCCTTCACGGAGTAATAAATATGTACAAGCAGTTTGAAACGGTTTCAGTACCTTTATTTCGTTTCGCACAATAATACAATATGTAATTTATCTTAACCTACGTGCAAAGAAACTTTACATTGGAAGGAGTGTTGTTTTTTTCGCCCGAGTATTATGATGATTGGTGCTATCAATGTAGTATCAGTTTTATTTAAAATTGACTGGCATGTCATATATATATACAATGAGTGACATATGACATGAAGTACGTCAAATTTTCACATGACACTGCACGCATTAGATTACATAATCAATCACAATATTTCTTCAACTTGTACTTAATTGAACATATGTATTACGGTAACCTGTCTACAGAATACGAGTAATGTACAACAAAATGCGAGTAATACGAGTAATGTACAACATTATCAACACAAGTATCATATTTCTTATCTACAGTGACATGAAAAAAACTTGAATCTTAACAAACATATCAGTCACTTTGATACACAAGAAACATTTGAAGGGGTTTTCAAACGTACGCTTCTTTTTATGGTACGACAGGAAAAGCTGTCATCAGTGCTGTTTCCACAATTTCATGGGTTTATCATGTTTGAATGTTTAACCATCTGAAGATCTTGACTTTAATTTAAATGCTGGGGAATCATCAAATCTGTTTCCTTGTAAGAGTTTTTACCTGTATCTTCGACTAAAAGTCAGGTCCAAACTAGTTGGCTGGATTCTTTCCTGTATGGTTATTCATATGCGGGACACAGTAGATAATTTTGCCATCCGCACTACCCTAATATACGAGGTTACTCAGCAGCGTGTTAAGCCATGTGTTTGTATAAAGTACAGCACTGAAAGTCACACTGGCCACACTTGTAAGGGTTTATCGTCAGTGTGTGTAGCCATGTGTTGGTCAAAATGTCTTTTTGCGTGCTGCAGAATAGTCCCACTGCTCACATCTGTACAATTAATCTCCTGTATGCTTTTTCATATGCTTGGATAGGTGAGACCTGTCAGCCGTCCTGAATCCACACTTCTCACACATGTAGGGTTTTTCTCCGGTGTGTTTAGCCGTGTGTGTGTCTAAATGGCATTTCTGTGCAGCAGAATAGTCGCACTGATCACACTTGTAGGGTTTTTCTCCTGCATGCTTTTTCATATGCCTGGATATGTTAGACCAGTCAGCCGTCCTGTATCCACACTCCCCGCGCATGTAGGGTTTGTCTCCGGTGTGTTTTGCCGTGTGATGGTCTAGATGTTCTTTCCGTGAAGCAGAATAGTCACACTGGTTACATTTGTAAGGTTTCTCACCTGTGTGTTTTCTCATATGCCTGGATAGGTGGGACCTGACAGCCGTCCTGTAGCCGCACTCCCCACACATGTAGGGTTTGTCTCCAGTGTGTTTAGACATGTGCCTGTATAAATCTACTCTCCTCGAAGCAGAATATTCACACTTGTCACATTTGTAGGGTCTGTGCCCAGTGTGTTTAGACATGTGTAGGTGTAAATTGCTTTTCTTTGCAGTAGAATAGTCACACTGGTCACATTTGTAGCGTTTGTCCACAGTACCTTTCACCACAGGCCCGTCCGTCTGCTCTGTTTGACTCTGTACGGGAGGATGGACAGAGTTTACCCCGTACGCTTCCTCCGATAGAATGTCCTCTTCCTTGTCCTGCTGTCCTCCCGTGTCTGTTGCCGGGTCCTCACTGCTGCTTGTCTCGTTCCCAGGGTGCACAGTTGGCACCTCGCCCACAGGAATCTCACAGTTTATCTGGTCCATAATTTTCTAAGACCAAAAAATTAAACATCAGAAATTTTTGGTCAGAAAAATCTTTTAATACTATCAATGACCACCATAAAATGTATTACTACGCCCCGTTTGGCCAGTAAGTTTGGAAAGACCAGTAATTATACTCTAAAAAGGCCACTTTGCCTGATGTAAATCAAATCGACGTACATGTACATGTAAGTGGCGAGGGTCGAACGTTTGTTAGGTTGGACAGAGTTTACCCCGTACGCTTCCTCCGATAGAATGTCCTCTTCCTTGTCCTGCTGTCCTCCCGTGTCTGTTGCCGGGTCGCTGCTGCTTGTCCCGTTCCCAGGCTGCACTGTTGGCAGCTCGTTCACAGGAATCTCACAGCTTCTCCGGTCCATAATGTTCTGAAAGCAAAGATAAAATTTCCCAAATTGAAGCGTCGACAACAACATTCACATACTATCCGTTTCTTTGTAGGGCCAAAATGAAGCATCACGAATTGAAGCATAATAAACATTTCCATACTATTTATGTCGACATTTAGCCGCGGCGACTGTTGCAGGGCGTTTCTTGCTTGCAGTCTTTTACATTAGCTAGGGCTAACGTAAAAAGACTGCAAGTAAGAGAAGCCCTGCAACAGTCGCCGCGGCTAGTCGACATTCAAATGTACTAGTATTCCTGCGATCCCCCATGACCAGTATCTTTGGAAAGACCTGTAATCATTCACTTTGGAAATGGGAGTATCAGATGTCCTATCTAGGTCGATCTGCCCCCTCCCCAAGTATACCTTACATAATTCACGCGTCCCGATATGAAGTATCTGCTGCGGTACCGCGACACAGCGAGTGTAGGAGGTACAAAAAGGTCTTACCTGCCTACCAAAACTGCCTAGAGTAGGTTTAGAGTTGAAGTCAGTTGGAAATCGCCTCAGATTGGAGAGAAATGACACGCTCGCTCGGCTCAAAATGGCGGAAAAGTAAGCAGGGGTCAAACCAATAGACGTAATTCCAATCTCCGCGGCCATTTTGAAAAGCGGTCCCGGCGCTGCGCGTGATCACGTGATCTTGCACGAAAACGAGACGCCTACTGATGCTTCAGCTAGCCTACACACTGCATTCCAGTGGGGCATCGAGCGGTGCTGCATCTTCTTCTGTAAATTACGCTCTTTTACGATGAAAAGTCGAAATATTTATACGTGTTACGAATAGATACGGTTGTTGTGAGCATTTGGGTTTAATTTAAGCCGGTAGAAATGACAAATTCCCGCTCATTTTCCGAATTCCTTGACCGAACTCATTGTTTACTACATGTACGTTATACGCTAGCTACGGTCGAGCGCTCGCATGAAAAAATACGTAATATACTGACTTCGTTCGTGCAAAACCTGTATAGAGACGTGAAAATAACAGGTAGACATCCTTGTGGTTAAACATTTAGCG